GGTTTGGTGAAAACTTTGTGCGTTTAGGCCAGGGTTCGGCTTCGTGTGGACGGGGCCCTAGATTTCGGGCCTGATCAGTGGTTACTAGCTGAAGCGACTGAAGCTGTGTGCTAACTTTAGATCTCTCCTCTAAACTGCAGGTTTACTGCAGAATTTCAAAACAAAGTATGAAATTTTACTCGATGACTTGCTTTGCATCACATTCAGTTATAACAGCTTTTATCGTCCCTTTAAATATAAATATTGAATGATTCTTTGGTTTCTTTGTTCAGATTGTTACAAAAACGGATTCCGCTAAAGTTGGGCGTACAAGGTACGATTTTTTTCAATTGTTGCAGTCAGCTACAGCTCACACTGTACGACGAAACCGCAGATCTTAAAAGTTCCCAGCTCACGATGTTTGTTCTCACACTGTGCGACCCGACGCTCTAATGCGATCTACCTGCTCACACTGTACGTCTAAAAACCAGGTGGGACTCAGCTCCGCAGTGAGATGGCGCTACTCGGACTCGTCTATCCAGAAGCCAAACGAGTAGAAGAGGAACATGAAGCTCACTAGAGTGAAACGCGCTGCCTTGGCAATTAGTGCAATTTTGTGCTGAAAGCTCTAAAAAAAAAAAAGGTGACGACATATTTGGACAAAGACATGGCTGAGAAAACGTGGCTACTACAGTTTCACTCATTGCACCCTCGCCATGCTTCTGTGTTTTCCCCTGAAAGGAAGAAGAAGGATCCTTGTTTGCCCACAGAGCGATTTGCCCACGACCACCTTAAGACTGCCGACTGAATTTCAAACACGTTTGATTTTGGTTGTGAGAGGCTGATCGCCCCTCGTTACCCCCTGTACACGATGCATGATGCATGATTAGAAGGAAACTCGGCACGCGACTGGAAAATCGGCCCGAAAATTTTAAAAAATTGTACAGCGTAACGCCCGGCTTCATAGATCATTGTTCTAAGTTATTTCTGAAAAATATCAGTCCCGTTTTAAAATAATTGATTTATCTTTTTTTTTCTCAATGTTTATCCAAAATGTATTGTTATATATTCTTTAAACAATGTAAAATACTACAGTCGACAATTTCTTCAAACATCAACAATTTTAACAAAAGAAATACTGGATTTGTAGCGAGCTCTAGTTCTATGGTGTTTCCCACTCATTCATTTGGGTTTTACTTGTGAAATTCTCTTTTTTTTGTTGCGAAAATCAAAGCGATTAAATAAATGTTTCACATCCAATGCATCAAATTTCTAAACAGTATTTCAGATATCTTACAATCATAGTGTTATAAAATATATACAATACTGTGTTAATTATTGAACCGTTTATATCCCAGCTGCTTTTGATAGTTTTGTTTTTGTGCAATTTATATATGCTTTCCAGCTTAAATTTCTCCCAAGATTAAATCCAGAAATGTCCCATAATCTATTAATTTAAGTTCCATCAACGTTAAGTTTAAAATCTGGGCTTTCATAAGTTTCATTTTTCCAGATTTAACAATAATTTGTTTCCATCAAACATTTTCTTCTTTCTCTTGTTGTTTCTTAACCAACTGTGTTATGTTGTCTTGCCCAGAATAAATTAAGGTAGTATCATCCACAAACAAAATACATTTAAACAGTTTGGACACATAAAGAAAATCATTTATATACAGAATAAACAGTTAAGGCAAAAGGAAAAATCCCTGGGGTATTCCATACTTGTAATTATGATTTTACTTTATGTTTGCGTATATATAGGCACCAGTGGGGCAGTGGATGGCACTACTGCCTTGCATCAAAAAGGTTCTGGGTTCAATTCCCAGCCCGGGGTCTTTCTGCATGGAGTTTGCATGTTCTCTCTGAGCATGCGTGGGTTCTCTCCGGGTACTCTGGCTTTCTCTCACATTCCAAAAACATGACTGTGAATTTGCTTCTCTAAATCCTCCTTAGGTGTGTGTGTGAATGGTTGTCCCTGTGATGGAGGGTGGACCCCGCCTCTTGGCTGGAGATAGACACCAGCATCCCTCGTGACCCCAGTAGGGATTGCTTTTATTTTGACTGAATAAATCAACTGGAAAAGATAAAAAAAAAATCTTTCTAGAACTGAAAAGAAGTTAGTAAATAAGTAAATCGGCATCCTTGACTTGTCCCTAAAGCTGCAGCTGCTTTTTGTGTTTTTATTCAGACTGATTAAAACTCATTAAAAGCCTAAAACAAGTTCCAGACTCCCCAGAACTTCAGTTTCTGTTTTTATAATCTTTATAATCTTCTCTCACCCCTCTGGTTCTGCCTATCCAGGTCCAACTGTTTCGAGGTTTTTGCCCTGAATGGAACCGTCACCAATATTCTTCAGTTTTGCACTGCGGCTGAAAGCATTGACTGGCTCCAAGCAATATCTACAAACATCAACGACTTGACGCAGGAGAACGTAAGTCCAAGCCAAAAGCGATCTGCAGAACAGCGACACATCAGCCGGCCCATATTTGCGTGTATTTTCCTTGTCTCGGTATCAGCTGAAACATGCCTGCGTTAGCTGCATAAAGAAAAAAAAAGTAAAAAAAAGTACAAAATAATCCACTGTACTTTATTTCCAAGTTTGGAGACGTTTCTCCTCCCATCCAGGAAGCTTTTTCTATTTAAATGTCAGAAATAGCATTGAGTTTAATGTTTTATATAGTAGCCCAAAAAAGCCTTGTTTCTGTTTAGAAAACATGCAAATAGAAACGCATGACCGGGTCCACCCCTTTGGAATGGAGGTTGTTTAGCTTCTTTTGTTAGCCTGCAATGCCCCATACCTGTCTGGTTGCAGTTAGTGTTGCACTGATACCAGTATGGGGCAGGGCCCTGATCCAGCACTATAATGGTGGTATCGGTATCGGAGAGTACCAACAAATAGGGCCGATACCATTTTGAGAGCCAAAAGTTTCTTCAACTATTGTCACCCATTCCAGGTAGGCAATAAAAGGTTCTACTGGATTCACTTTTAGTCTTTTTTCTGCTTCACAAAGGTAGGCAGCAGCTTGACAAAGCCATGATGGCAATGATTTTACATCCTAGTAGTATGCAGTTCTTCACATATACACACACACATCAATTTCAAACAGATGGTATCGGCCAATACTGCACAGCCAGGTATCGGGGCCAAAAAATTACAATTTTTGGTGTCAGAGACTTTATTGTTTGGGAATCCCTGAGTTGGACTAATGTCATGGTAATCAGCATCGTCATCGACCTAAATTCAATTAATTCAGTTTATTTCTATAGCTCCAATTCACAACACATGCGATCTCAAGGCACTTTCC